GTTCCTCTCTCTCCGCTCTCACTCGGCACCCTCGCCTCTATCGCTTATACAAAGAGAAACGAAATGTATAAATTATGTTTCTGTTTGTATAAAGCGAGAGAAAATTGTATATACACTTGCAAATACATATATCTTCGTTCTATACACTTATAATTATATAATAAAAATATTTTCCTGACGAATTATACATATTTATATTTGTTATGGAGCACAATTATATAAAATTTTGTTATATACATGACTTCATCGTATATATTTGAAGTTGATTTAGACAAATCAAGTAAAATTTTAAGTAATAATATCCAAAAAAAATAAAATAATCAATCTTAGCAAACTCGAACACTTTAAATGTCCAAAGACTATAGAACTTCAAACATGAACTCTTATAATACTCTTCTTTTGTTAATTAAATTTCGGAGATAAATACTTACAATTGTTTCAATTGTATATATCTAAAGCTATTTCAAAATCGATAAATTTATATAAAAAGTAATAATAATAACTTTCGATACAACTTAAATAATGATCTCAAATTTAATTATTTGTGCACTTTCAAGAAAAAAAAACACAAATAATATCTTATTATTTGAAAATAAATATGAAACTACACTTAATAGCTTTAATTTAAGACCACTTATCCTCGTAATGGTACGTTACCCTAATAATGTTTTACTTAATGAAAAATAATTAGTCTTTATTTATTCACATTCCAACTACTAAATGTTAGATTAACTAATAAAGGAAAATATGGAAAACTTGTGTTTACTTTTGATTAAGAAGATAAGAAATTTAATGAACCTTATTCCACATTAATTAATTTATTTTGTGACACGTAACATGTCACAAAAAAAAAAAAAAATTGTACCCTCTCTATATATACATACATATCATTAGTTTTTATAGGATATCAACATTTTTAGTTCTTGCAGAATTATTCAAAAAAATGGGAAACAAAGGCTATTTCTTCTACTGTTTATGTATCTTTACTTATATGACCACTTTTCATCCTGGTAATTAATTTCATCACTCATTAATTCTTGTATTTTAAGATAAAGTTTAATTTTGTTGAATCTAAAAGCTTAATAGGTTAAGCTGTTAGAGAGATAGAGCACATTCTTATTGTTTAATTATATTCTGAACACGTCTTTTTATTTGTGGACTTGATTCTTTTCTATGATCGAGCATGTGGAAATTCTTTTTAATTGGTGTGATCGTGTGGCCATGAGATTTTGATTCCGAACCTCTGTCTACTCTGATATTATGTTGAAGTGTGTGATTGTTTCATTTAAATTAAGATATCATATTTTTTATTATTTAATTATATTTTCAACTATTTTCAATTTGTTTGTTCTATTTGTTAAGAAATCTAACGTTGGTAGAGAGATGAGAAATTGGTGTCGTGAACAAATTGAACCTCCCCTCCTTTACTAGCTTTTAGGGTTGAGTTAAGCTCAAGTGTCATATCATTATACGTTTCAAGGAAAGAGATTCACATGCCGATATACTGATTTAAGATTTAAATTTTATGAATTCAATATTTTAGGATTTTTAGTATTTAACTCATTATATTTCTGAAGTTGATGTGTATATCTACTATTTCTTACAATTTTAATGATTTTCTATACGTAACTTTATGCCCCGCATCAAAAATACTGAATTCAGATAAATCTAATATTGCAATATTGGATCCTCCCATGGTTAGCATCTATTTTTTTTTGTTGTTGTTGTAGTTGACATGATTGAGGAGGTTGATGTTGTACTCAAAAGACAACATGGGAGGCACAAACATGGTGAAATTAAGCTGTTTGTATTTGGAGACTCATATGTAGATACTGGGAATTGGCCAAAATCTATGTCTAGTTCTTGGAAACAACCATATGGCTTCACTTATCCTGGTTATCCTTCTGGAAGATTCTCCGACGGCCTCGTACTCACCGATTTTATTGGTACGTACATCGTCTGTGTCACTAATATTTGCATTACGTTATGTTATTTACATGCATGACATCTCTATCGCGTCACTTTTCTTTGAATCCCGTTAATATGAAATAGAAATATTTTGTATATCAAACTATCCTTTCTTTTTCTTTTTAATTAATGCAGCTTCATTCCTTGGTATAAAATCTCCACAACCTTATGCTAATAGAAAGAAAATATCATCACATGAAATGGACAATTATGGGGTAAATTTTGCATATGGAGGCACAGGTGTATTCAATACTTTTGTTAACCAACCAAATATGACAACACAAATTAATTATTTTCAACAACTTATTGAAGAAGAGGAACAAGTGTACAACAAAGAGAAGATGAGTTCTTCAATTGCTATTGTGTCTGTGGCAGGCAATGATTATGCTACTTTCATCACCAATAATAATATGGAGGTAATTTAAGTTAAATTTTATGTGTATATATATATATATATATATATATATATATATATATGTTCAACAATATGGAGGTATAATAATTAATAATGTATCTAGAATTCATGTTTGGTTATCTATATGGTGTTATTTTCTTGCTTTTGCTTACCTAGAAAATGTCTTGATTAGAGATTTCGATTTTAAGTCTTAATAATAGATATAAAATGATTTTTATTAGAAAGTGTTTTATCTTCTGCGACAGCCCAATTCGGTGGTGATTCATGTATTGTCCGCTTTAGATTTAGGTCTGCACGATTTTAAAGCGCGTCCATATGATTGGTAAGGCATGATTACTTATTATCCAATATCTTTCATGTGTTTTTTTTCTCGATATGGGACTTTTATCTGAAATCGAAGTGTCACACCTTCAATATATATGGAAATTTACTCCATCTAATACTCGTACCCGACCCCCGCCCCACCCACCCCCCAAAAAAAACACCCATAAAAGCAAAAAATTGTCTAGATTTAGCTAGGGATGTTTTTTTCCCGTGTAGATTTTTATATCAGTGTTTGATATACACATTGAAATCTAACTAAATTTGGATTCACGCCATAAAGTTCCACATTGAGTGGTAAAAACTCTCTCCCTAACAAAGACGTCTCCGTGCCTTTTGACTAAAACTCAAAATCTCCGATTAAGAATGAAAGAGTGCTTATAACTCCACCAACCATGATTCTATCTCATTATTTTTTATTAATCATCTCCAATAACTATTTCAAATGTCATTTTAGCCAATATAAACACTTAAACCCCCCTCTAAATATAAACAATATTTCATTAATTAATTTCTTCTAGTCATTAACCATAATAAAATGCTAAATCATATTTTCTAATTTTTTTTTATTTTTTGTTTGCAGGACTTGGTCAATGTTACTAAATCAATGTTAAGTCAACTTGAATTAAACCTTAGACGTATACATGGATTAGGAGTTCAAAAAATAGGCATAACAACAATGGAACCCATAGGCTGTTTACCAAAATTGACAATTACTTCATCTTATGAAAATTGTAGTGAATATGCCAATTCTATTTCAATGTTTCACAATCAAATGTTACATCAAATAATAGACAAACTCAACAATCAAACTAGTAAACCAAATTTCTTCATTATTGATCTCTATAATGCCTTCATGACTTCCTTGAACATACAACAAAACCATCCAGGTAACAGTTAATTTCACGTATGGTTACTAGTACTTTAATCACACGTACTTTAAATTCGTTAGTGCACCTTATGCACTATTTCACGCTTTTATCGTGTGTTTATTGAATTTTTTTCACTCTTTTTTTTTAGGAAATTCAAACTTTGAGAATCCATTGAAACCATGTTGCATGGGAATTTGTGGAGATAAGAAGAAATATGTATTATGCAAAAATCCAGAATTTTCATTCTTTTGGGATGCAATTCATCCTTCTCAACAAGGCTGGTTTGCTGTTTTTTCTGCTCTAAAGCCTTCTCTAAGTTTCTTATTGTAAATAGGGATGATTACGAATCTGAACCATTCGATCATTTAGTTTAAAAAATATGTATACGGTGTAAATTGTGTATATTATATGCTAAATATACATATAATATACATGTGTATACACAACATATTCACGGATAGTGTATATGTTGTATATATATCAAACGTGTTGACAAATTAGTTACTTTGTTTCAAACTCCGTATGGTACAGTTGGTAAGAGTCCCTAATATATATATATATATATATATATATATATATATATATATATATATATATTCGGATTAAGTTTATCGTTGGATGAACTGTATTGCTGATATTGATAAAAAGAAAAGAAAAGAAGATGATGCGTACAACTGGGAGATGTGAACAACCAATTGTCGCATGTTATGACATGTTTAAGACTATATGTTTACATTGTGCAGCTGTATATAGGGATGAGTACATGTATGTTCTGTAGATGTGTATAATATATGTATATTATATGTCGAATATATATTTTTCTCTGTAATTCTATGCCACAAAAATATATATTAGAGAGAAGGTAAAATAATAAGAAAAATAAAAGGAATTTTTTTTGTAAAAATTTAAGGAATCCCATAGTGTAATTCAATAATTACATTCTGTCCCGATAAATTTAGTATTTACAAAAAATCCCTTAAATTTGTTGTTCTGTGATACTTTAGACTCTAGTGATACATGGTAAATAATACATGGTAAGTTTAAACTGTTGAGAAAAAATAGGGAAAAAACGGTACAATTAATGTTGTTACTAAAACAGCTTAATTTAAGGTAACAGATCATTAATCACCATAAAAGCAGCACGTAATTGGATATTAATTTCAAATTTTGAAAATCAAAGATTATATCATCTATTTTGAAGTCTATTTATCTTTTCAATCTGGCTTCTTTAAATAATTGTTGATCATTTCTAAGAATCCTTTGAAATCCTTAAAGTACACTACGGTCAATTTGACAATAAGAATATATAATATTTCTCTTTAGTTATAATTGAATATTGGGGTTTCTCGCTTTTATTTTATGTATGTTATGCTTGATTGAATATCTGTCTTTTTTTTGTGAACGATGCACTCTATTCATCCAATAGTGTTCAATACAAAACAAATAGATGATAATTATCTACACTCTTATCAATTACAAAAAGTCTATACATGCTACAACTACAAAACACGAGAAACAATCTTACATAGTGAATAAAAAGACAATACAACAACTTCTCTAATTACAAGACCTAAGGGTATGAATTTGAAGCAAGTAAAGGTCTTTGGAAGCTGGAGATGCTTCTGCCTCTGGTGTTTATATGCAGTACAGTTTCCTTGCATAATCAGTCTGCTGAAGATACTCCTCCCCCCTGGAATCTGAGCACATTCTTTTCCTTTAGGAAATTGTTGTTAAAATTGACAGCAAACATTATGGGATGTCTTGGTATCTTTTTAATCTTGTACTTCATTGGCTGCAATTTGAAAATAAAACAACAAATTATAACGATATTGAAATATAAATACTAAATAAAACAACTAATAACTTACTGATACATGGTTTCAGTTTTCAGAAATTCATACTACATGAAAAACATGTGATACATGTCTACTACATGTATCAGTGAATTAACTAAAACATTATAACATGTGATACATATCTAATACATGTATCAGAAACATCTATTAAACAATATACACACTGATTCTCTATGTATCATCAAGTACAGTTGATGACGCATTTATTAAATTTAGTAAATGATACATTATAACAATTTTCAAAACATGTATCAGTACATCAACTAAACAACTAATACCTTACTGATACATGATATCAGTTTTCAGGAATTCATACTACATGCAAAACATGTGATACATATCTACTACATGTATCAATGCATTGACTAAACACTGTACACACTGATTCTATATGTATCCTCAAGCCCAGTTGATGACACATTATTGAATGATACATTATAACAATTTTAAAAACTTCATGATACATATAAAATATTATGATACACAACAAATTCATGTATCCGTGATATTGTTAAATCCCAGATTTAACTCTTTCAAACTGCTGAGTGCTGCAGATATAAAACGGTTGGCTAACAATGTGGAATGGTTTTGCTTTAGTCAGTTCTTTTTGGCAAATAACAAATGTCTTCCACTTACCCAAAAACTTCTCACATCCATCGTCTAAAAGGTGAGATCTATTGACATTTTAGCGACTTCAATGAAGTGAGAGCTGCATTATGATAAACGAACTATCAGAAACTTCAACAACGTGATGGAATCCCAGAATAGAGAAGTAATTCCCCGAAAAATTCTCTTTTACTTCATAAAGTTTGTCCCGCAAACTAGGCCTAGTAAGCTAACATGGAAATTAAAACAGTAAAAGCAGACCTGTGAGGTAATCCAAACATGACGCAGTAACAACAGACCCTTCCAAGTTTAGCACGACAAGTTTGTACAGATCTGTAAAAGAATGAAATATTATCAAATCCAGATTACATCTTAACATAGAACAAAAAGGAAATGTTAACTTTACGAAAAGCAGCCGAAGAGACTATTAATTGAGCTTCTTACAGCCAGAGTCTTTGTTTGAATCCATCTGAAGATTCATAGGATCATGCAAAAAGAACTGAAACTTGATGGAGAACAAAACGGTAGAAGTTAAGAGAAGTTGTCCTGCTTCCTGAAATTTTTACTTTTTTAAATTTCAAATTTTTTGAATTTTGAAATTCAAAATTTCAAAATTTGGTCTTTTATTTAAAATTAATTAAATTTAATAATTCAAAATCAAAAAGCTGATTTAAAAGGTTGAGTGTTTAAATGGATAAAATTCAAAATTCAAAAACTGATTTAAGAGGTTGAGTGTTTTAATGGAGAAAAAATAGGCATTAAAATGGGTAAATGTGTATTATAGGAGAGAGAATGTAATGTATCTAAAAACTTACACTAAAATTAAAAAAATGGAAATTATGTAATATTTAAAAAATGTAGGGAAAATTAGAGAATATAAAAATTATTGTTGTGTATTTAAGTTATTTTTCCATTTTTTTTTCAGTGGAAAAAACTTTAAAGAGTAATATTCAACCAAGACCAATAATGAAAAAGGAATATGTTCTTTAGTTGAGCAGATGTAGTGTGTCTTATAAAGAATATATATATATATATATATATATATATATATATATATATATATATATATATATATATATATATATATATATATGCTTCTATTTGCCTCTTCTTAAAAATCATTCATTCATTATTTAACTAATCTAATCAAGTGTTTTAAGTTATATATACACATAGTTATTATACAAAAATTCTATACCATCGGAATATTTTTATTTGTTATAATAGATATTTTATTTTTATCATCAGATTAGATAATAACAGACTCAAATAGAACAACAATTATTCATCCATCCTTAGTTACAAAATTCGAGTTCAAATCTTAAGAAAGAATTTGTCTAGAATAGGTAGCACTTTAATTTGCCCCCGCCTCCCTGTCTCCCGGTCCTTCACGATAGAACGTTTAATTACAAATTTAAATTAGTTGAACTCCAAAATAAATAAGCAGTGTAGTGGTTTCGAAATATTGCACATATAACCTCTTATAATTGCAAAATAAAGCAAGAAAAGTTGAATTATTAGCCAAATTTTGTGATACACAAGATATACATGCTAGCCCTTGCTAATATTAGAAGAAGTATTAGCTAGCTTGTAAGATGAGTGAGACATTTTGCAAAATTGGCCACCATATTTTTGATCATTTTCTTCTTCAATTGTTTCCAACTTCAATTCAAAGCTCAACTTCCTCTCTGTCTTCCTACAAATTTGTGGCACTTTTTCACCTTTTTCACAATAAACACTACTACTAATCACTTGCTTTGACATATCTTTCTCTCTATATATATCTATATCTATGAGAATTGTTGTTTCTCTTTGTTTGGGATTTTTCTTTTTTCTTGTTGTTTAGATGATTGATGAGAGTGAAAGCTAAGCTAAGCTACTTATAGGAAAAGTATTTTGGAATTTTGGTACCCTTTATGTTGTATTTGTGTGGGGGTATATACTCTCTATAATCTTAATTAATAACTAGTTGTTGATTATTGTTATAATTATTATTGGAGAAAAAAAAATATTGAAAATAGACTGAATTTGGTGTAAATTATTAGTTTTATTTTTTGAGTTATTGACAGCTTTAAAAATATTCATCTAACTTGACTAACTAAACTTAATTATCTACCAAAATGTGACCTAGTAGGTGGTCTCAAATTGATCTTACAGGGGCATATGAGTTTTAATTAATAAAACAGAAAGAAGTGTTAAAAACACTCTTTTAACTTGATGATAAATTAGGGGTCATGTACTTCTTTTGTTATCATTAAGGTCTTCAAATTACAACAAAGTCAATTGATTAAACTCGACATGATAATTAATTATCTGACAGATACCTTATCGACTAAATTAACATGTGAAAAGAAATATCAAACTTTTTTATTTTATACGTTGGTTCAAATTTAACAAAGACTCAATTTCGATCAACGATATTATTCAAAAAGGATATAGTTTTTTTTTTAATAAAACAAATGATGCATGTACTTAGACAAGTCTTATGGTGATTCTATTAAAGCTAATATATATCCAATAACTTTGAAAAAACAAGTTCAATGGTTCAAAATGATTGATCTAATATTCTCTCAATCAATTATTGTTAAAAAATAATATTCCAATTCCTTATCCATTATGTTGACTGTGGAATAAGTATATAAACTTTGCCTAATCCACTTTTAGAATGTGTTCAAGTTTCAACCTTTACAATTTTTATTATTCTTTCATTTTAATTTATAATATTTTATTTTGTAATTTTTTTTAATTTTAATTTTAATTTTTTACATGATATGTTCAGAAATAACTTGATTATACATGCTTCACATTTATAATTTGCTAATTATAATTTGTAGCTATATGTTAGAGAATGGAGAAAGACGAGTGTGATTGATAGATGGATATAGAGTGAACGGACTTGAATAGACGGAAGAGACTCAAAGCACTTTCCAGTTGTCATGGAGTTGCACCATGGTTCATATATCTTAGCCCATTTTTAATTTTCTTGGTGATAGATGAATTGATGGAGTAATTCAATGTGAAGTTTCATGATGTATGTCTTTATGTATGACATAATTTGATTGACGAAACTTACTAAGAGTTAAAGTTAAGGAGGCATGGAGAATTTAAGGACCCTAGAATCTAACGGATTCAAGTTAGGTAAAACCAAAATAAAATATTTGGAATGCAAGTTCAGTGACGAAACACATGAAATTGACATTGAAGTGAGACTTCGTACCCAAGTCATCCAAAAGAGAGGAAGTTTCAGAAAAATTGATGATGATGTCAAACATTATATGATTCAGGGTGGATGAAATAGAGATCCGCAATATTTGAAGTACTCTTGTGTGATAAGAAGCTGTCTCCAAAATAATCTCTTTATTTATTAATATAAAAATAAGATCTATATATGCACTATTACGAAGATATTTGATATGTAATGTGATTTTATTCTTCTCTTTAATGTTAGTCATGTAATTAATACTTATTAGACTTGTTTTAGCATGATTTATTATGATCGTTTTAATTATGATTTGCTAATATGCAATATTTTTTAATGCAATTTTTTTTTGAATATTGTATTGTCATCACTCGTTACATATTATGTACGTGTTAGAAAAATATTAGGTAGTTGTATTTTGAAATGACAAAAGAAATATTTGAAACACAACTTAATTATGTGTTTATATAAAGACTTTACTCGGAAAAAGATCCAAAATTGAAAAATCTGATTTTTATTGATTTATTTTAAAATATAGATTTACTCGTGACTTCTTTGTCATAATTTTGAAATATATTTGTTTTCCTTTTCTTTATGACTTGTATCTTCAAAATCCTGATGATCCGACATAATTTATGAGTAATTCAACGAAAATAAGGTAAATTCTAGTATAAATACAGCGATTTGTCATGATTTATATTTCATAATTCGTAAAATGTACTTTTTTTCTCTTCCTTTTTGTTACTTATATCTATGGAATCGCGATGATAAACTAACTTGCTTTGTTATTAATCAAACATGATAGGTTAATTAAAAATAGTATGACTATAATAACTTATATTAGTCAAACTTTTGAAGTGTATTATTTTAAAATCATGAAAATTCGTAAGTAATATTTTTTTTTAAAAAAAATGATGATCCAACATGATTAGTAAATGGGCAAATGGGCCTAGGTGAAATTGCCCTTTGGGCCCGTTAAATTTTTGGCCTTTGGGTTTATTAGGTTAATGAGAAGGCTAATTAATTGGACAACTTTCACATATAGCAAACAAAAAATTCATATTTGTATGGTATAACAAACTTTGCATAATTGCACTCCATAGCAAACATAAAACTGTATAATTCGCTATACATATACAAGTGTATAATTCGCTGGCCTAAATTGTATAATTCGCTGGCCTATTTCGCTGCAATTGTATAATTCGCTATCCTATTTCACTGCAATTGTATAATGCACAACTGTATATTTCACTGCCTATTTTGCTGCAATATTTATATAAAATTTGCTTTGCATACAATAGTTTAAGGATATTTTAGATCCTTTTTGATTAAAATTATGATCATTATCATAATGACCTATTTATTTACAATATTTGTTTTGATCGATTTTTTTGTTGAATATTTAAGTGTTATCACCCATATCATATTTTGTGTTATTTTCTTAAGAAACATCTTTAGACGGTTATATTTCAATACAAAGAATTATCTGAAGCAAAAAATATTTATATGTTGTATGGAAACTTCATCAGAAAAGCTCCAAAATCCAAAAATTTAAAGTTTGAAAAATTTGAGTTTCATTAATTTGGTCTGGTTTATAGATTTAAAAGTTCTACACAAATAATTAATTTGATTTTTGAAAATTCCTTACCTACCTGATCCATGTACACCCCTACTTAATATAATTTTCTATATACAAAATATACTATTTTAATAAATGGTGTTCGACTAATCATCCATTACTATATATGACACGAGATATATCAAATCGAATTTCATTATACTATATATAGTAGATTTATACCATGTATAACACATATTTATCTGTACGTATTCAAAATTAAATATAATGACATGTTTACGTTACGTTTTTTCTAGGTGTGTGTTTAGACGTGGCTACATATATGACTTTGTACTGCATGCTAAAATAGATATGGTACTACAACACAAAGTATGTGTACTACAAAATGAACAAAAAAAGTGGATGAAAATTGTATTCTTTTTTGGAGTGATAATAATAGTAATAATAAAAGTTTGGTCCAACCAATAATATACCAAATACACCGTCCAGTCGAATCTTTTAACAATTGGTGACTTCCAACAAATGAAAAGCAAATACTTTTTGGATAAATATATGACCTTATAATATCATCAAGAGGTATAGTGCGATGTACGTAGCTAATTAAGACGATATAAATTTGAAATTTATAAATTTTTTTATAATTATTTAGAATTGATTATTATTTTATTCATTTTGATTACATGTTAGTGTTTGATCGGATACAAAGTTTAAGAAAATAATATAAATTTTTTGAAATCTGTATTTTAAAAACTGTCGTAAACATTCTTAATAAGGATGAAATGAGAATTAGAAACTAAACTCTCATATATAACTTGACTAATACGATGGTTTTGAGCTAAATATTAGTGTACATTAATTATTTTTTAAATATAACTACAAAATTTTGGAGAGAAGTTATTGAGTACACGTGAATAATATCGAACTCTCCACTCTAGAGATCTAAAAATTCGAGTCATAAAAATGAAAAAAAATTCTCTGAGATAATTTTTCCTCCTATAACGAGGCTTACATAATTTTATAGATCCGATCCTACTCTTGACTGATATCTTCACCTTTAATAATTTTTTTTTTGAATTTAAGCCATGAAAATTAAAAGAACTTTTATAATAACTTTTTCCATATGGACCTCATATAATATAAATTTAAATTAGTCGAGTAAATAATTTTTTTTTACGTTGGATGATTTAACGGAAAACATGTGTGTTGCATTAAAAAATAGTGAGTTGGTAGAATTTTTTTAACATGTGTGTTAGCTTCAAATAATTCAATATTTATATTTGAATATTAATTATCAAAAATATCGAACTAAATACCGAATATTTGCTCGATATATATATAAAAATCTAGGTGAAAAATAAAAGAAAAAAGAACAAACTAGGCATGCTTTTACGTTACGTAAGAACATAATAATATTTTTTGGTAATCAAATAAAAAGTTTGTTCAACTACTCATTAAATTCCAATCACATCTACACATTTTCATTTTTTTAAAAAAAACTTTTTAAGAACATTTTCAACATTATTACTCCATAGATTCTTAAAACAATATTATATTCTCTTATTTATATTATCCATTTAAAAAAACAACTTTTATACAAATATCATCAAAAAATAGAGGAACATATACTATAATCATTTTGTTTTACTTTCTTTTGAAGAATATATTTTAAAAAATCATTTCAGTTTATTACTTTATATGTCCTAATTTAATTAAACACGAAACTAAATGATGTATTTTTATTTATTTTGTATACTATGGTAAGATGTGTGCATAAATAACATTCTTTTAAGTTTTAGATTTTAAAACACAATCCCTGTCATATTATAAGAAAGAATTACCATAGATAAAAGGAAACAAACATCGTGGTGTTCGAATCAGCTAGTTAACAAGTATTTAAATTAATTTCACAATTTACTTGATATTTTCACCAGCAACAAAAACTAAGTAATACTTTGACTTTAATTTTTATTTTATTTTAATGGAATAATGTACATATACATAAATAACTAAAGATTATTTTGAACCATATATTTCAAAAAAAAAATCTTTTTTAAATTTTGTGTTTAGTCAAACACGATCGAATAAATTAGTAAAACAAAAAGAATAGTATTCTTTTGTCCTTTTCTTTTATTCTTGTTCTATAAATAGGGAGTCATATACAACTAATTCTTCCATCATCTCAAAAGTCCACATTTACATAATTTCTTCTCACCAAAGCAAAAGCTTTCACATTTTTTTCTCCACATTTCATCATGTCTCAGGTACCTATTTCTTTAACCATTCAATATTTTTTTTTTCTAATATAAATTATTTATAAGTCATAATAATAATCTTTGGATTTTCTAAAGGGGTTAATGAATTTTGGTTAAATAATCTAAACTTTATTTTCCCCTTTTTAAGTGGAAGTTTTTGTTCTTGATTTCAATCAATTAATTAATCTTCTCTCTTTTGAGCTCTAAATTGATCAATCTTGGATTTTTGGTGAATGTTTTTTTTTTGATCTATTGGATTCTTAGTTAAGAGAATTTATTTTCGAGTTTATTTCTCAGACGATCACTTAATTAATATTAGTGGTTATCTTGGATTTTTATGTAATTAAAGACGATTGAAAACAAGAATAAAGATGACATTAATTATGTGATAATAACTATATCGTGTGAGAGAATTCAACTTATATTGTTATTATTTATTAAATATAGGGGGGTGGGGGTGGGGGTGGGGTGGGGTGTGGGGAATTGATAAATATTTTGAAAGCTTATGACCTTACATTGTCACATTGACCTAATTTGATTAAGGATTTTAGCACCAGTATATACTAACCATTGTTTAAGTGCTAATTGTAACTTTGACCCCTTAATTATGACAAAAAGTTAATTTTGATCATTGTGATATGTTATTAAGTATATTTAATCTTTAATTAGTTGAAATGTGTACTTTTAATTCCTTTACTAGTGAATATTCATAATTATCTCACCATTTCACAACTTAATTACTCATGTATAGTAATAAGATTGTGTTGTTACTTTATATGTGCAAAAATAGCACAAATAGTATATACTTAATTCCCACATAAAATGATTAAAACAACTGATTTTAAATTAAAATAAAAGGTAAAATGTGTTACTAATATATATCACAAAGAAAAAAAAAATCAAAATTACTAACATTTGAGGGACTAAAAGTGTTACTATCCCATTGTTTAATTATACTTTTAATGTGTTTTAACATGTAAATTTATCATAATTTTAGGTTATGAATTCCATTTATCAACCTCTTAGTACATACAAATTGTTACCTTAACCACAAACACTTATAATTTAAAGACAGAATAAATTGAAAGAGCTTAAATAGTAATATTTTCTGTCTCGCATAAAAAAGAAGTTAAGATTGTCATATAGAAATTTACGCAAGATAACATTATCTGTGCGTAGAAATTAAACTTCAAAAATTAGTTAATTGTTTTTTTTTCTATATGATATAAGCAGACAGTTGTTCTCAAGGTTGGCATGTCATGCCAAGGTTGTGTTGGAGCTGTCAACAGAGTTTTGGGTAAAATGGAAGGTACATTTTTGTATATAATTGCACTTTTTTTGTCCGCTTCGTTTTATGTGAACTTGTTTTGCTTGACACGAAGTTCGTTAACATCTGTAACATGTCACGTATATTACTAATGTCTATAAAATCATGTCGGAAAGGGCAGACCGTGAATATTGCAATTAAATTGTTCTCTAGTAGATGCATCATTTTCTTTTTTGAAACAGACTAAATAGAAATTTAGAGGTTTAATTTATCGATTTTAGGTGCTAGTCCTTTAGAGTTCCTCGATGTCTATCTTAATACAAACACAAAATTTAGATAAAATTATTATTTAGTTCAGTTGAATTCATTCAGTAACACATTGACCTATGAATGTTGCATAAATTGAAACAGAAAGAATACTAATTTGACTCGAAACTTCTGTATGAACATATTGTAGGTGTTGAATCATTTGACATCGATATAAAGGAGCAAAAAGTGACAGTAATAGGAAATGTGGAACCGGAAGCTGTTTTCCAAACGGTTTCAAAGACCGGAAAGAAGACATCATATTGGGAAGAACCAGCACCAGCATCAGCACCAGAACCAGAAACAAAGCCCGTGGAAGAAAAGCCCGTAGAAGAAAAGCCCACAGAAACACCAGCTGAGCCCGAACCAAAGCCCACAGAAGAAAAGCCTGCAGAAACTGTTGCTTAATTAATGGGCTGAAATTATAGCATATGATTGTGATTTATTATTCAAGTTTTCTTGTAATGACAAACGCCAAAATGTGAACTTAGCTGAAATAATTGTCTTGTTTGGTTTTCTTGTAATGTTTTTGCTATCAAATCATGTATCTTGTATTAATATGTTTATGGATGTTTTGGATCAACAAAAATATTAAAATTCGAAAGTAATCGAAAATATGGATAATATCTTGATAAATATAGGTATTTGAACATGAATTTGATTACATGCTGATATTTGGGTAAATAAGATAGTTTATTATGACATAAATATATATTATTATATGTGATGGTCTATTAGTGATTTACCGATCACTTTTATTCTCAAACCTGATAGCTTGGTTGATTTTGCATATAAATTTTGGGGGTTCCTCATGAGCGTTGCCTATATAGCATCAAATTCCCTTATTATTTGAGAGTATTGACTTCTCACGTTACAAATGTTACACCCCGATAGCTAGTAAAGCAAACCACCGGAACTTAAAGTCTCGATTGTAGACTAAAAAAAAAAAAGGGAAGAATCAAAGAGAACTTCTACTTATTTGCACTACTTGTCTTGTTATCAATAGCGTAGCCACATATAGCTTAGGGTAGCGAGTCAGACATCTTTTATAATGAGTATATATATATATAGGTTAATAATTATTTTTCATACATATATATTGAATTTCGGACATTTTTATCGAAAATTCTGATTTCACAACTCCGTAGATAAAGCCACTAAATTTCAATATACAAGTACTAACAAGATGAAAGAGGAAAGTTCAAACATGTATTTATAAATTAAGAAAGCTAACATAATGAGTTGACATATAACAAATAGGCCATGCACAAAGATATTGGCAACCAACTAATGAAATAAACAAGCTAATTCAATCTCCAAGTGGGATTTATTTTATCTTTTAACAAAGTAGTAAGATGAGTCTCAATGAGAAGCTTTCATAACTACACAAATATTAAAGGATATATAAGACGATAAATTTTAGTTTTATAGCCACACAGATGCTATGACGTGTTTAATATCATGACAAGGTTAAAAGATATTCATTTCTTTTTTTTGAACTCTGTATAAATTCAAACTATGTCACGTAAAATTTTAATTATAGCACAAGTGATTCTCAAGGAAATAGAATAGTTCACCAATCACATCACTAGTAAAAATTAAGAAAAAAAAAGTGTGTCAACCTATTCATGGATGCCATAATGTAGTAGTTGTTGAGTTCTTCAAAGGTCAGATAAGCTGAAGAATACATCAACTATACACTTTGGTATTATACAAACAATCATGTTTTTGTTCCTTCAAGAATTTCTCAAACTATAAATACTTCAATATGTTCCTTAAGTTATATCCATCAAAATCATAGTGTCTTTTGAGTCTCAAAAAAATTAAAAAATGGATTCCAAAGGCATCAATCTTGCACTTTTTGTTTGCCTCATTTTGTCATTTTCATCGTCTATACTTGCTTATCGAACACCATATTGGCCATCGATTAAAGTAGGTTACTATCGATATACTTGCCCCTATGCAGAACACATTGTTCAACATGTCGTAAACAGA